AGACAACCTCAAATCTTACGATCATCAAGATTGAGAGAAGGAGAAATTGACGAAATGGGAGAGAAGGGGATAGAGGAAAGAGAAGTAGGAGGAGGAGGAGGAGGAGGGGGAGGAGGAGGGAGGAGGAACACATGAGAGTGTAGGATGACAAAAAAAAAAAAACAAAAAAAAAAAGAAGGAAACATATGTATACATGTATACATATACATACATATACATATACTACATATGCATGTGCTCAGGACATGCTGAGGAGGACAAAGAGGCGGGGGTACAGCGACCGGAGGAAGAGAGGTCCCGGGGCTAGGTCCCACTTACACGAATTAAGCGATATTGACCGAAGATAGCAAAGATCAACAGCCAGAATCTCTTAATCCGTGCAAGTGGGACCTTGCCCCCTCCACTGGGCCGTAGCCGTGGGATTCAGATGCCAACGAAACCAGCTCGAGTTTAATTGACGAAAACAGGAAAAAGTCCCAAAAAAAAAAACAAAAAAAAAACGGATGGATAAATCGGGAAAAAAAAAGGATGTATAAATCGAGCCCTCGAGGTGGGTGTCCCTCAAGATTCCACTGACGCCAACAGAAAATGAAACTTTTGAGGTCCGACTGATGGTTGGAAAGTTTGGTGGTGCCGCAAGGCGATTTGGGAAGAGCGCCAGGTGCACACAACCTTGCCCTTCGGAACGCGTCGGCGAAATTTCTATGAAGTTTCATGCTCTGAGTACAGTACATGCGGAGAAGGAAGGAATGCCAATCTGTCGATGCTTGTACGAGAAGCCATCAATATCCACTGTTTTCACTCTTCCTCTTCTCCCTGTTTTCACTTTCTTCTTCTTCTTCTTCTTCCTCTCAATGCCGCTCATAAATTTTCTTCTTCTTCCTTCTTCCTTCTTCCTTCTTCCTTCTTCTTCTTCTTCTTGTCAATGCCGCTCATAAATTTTCTTCTTCTTCTTCTTCTTCTTCTTCTTCGCTGTACATGCTTGTTCCTTGGGATATAGTTTTCCCTCTTCCTTAGAAAAACGTTCGGAGTTGGAACTTCCCTCCTCCTCCATTCCCATCCACTCCTCTCCCCGCCGCTCTGGGATGCCCGCCCCTCTTCTCCTTGTCCTTTTCCGCCATCTCTCTCCTTTTCCAGCTTTTGTCCTTTGTCTTTTTTTTAGGTTTCCTCTGTTCTGCCCTATGCTTGCCTTACATTCTCTCTCTCTCTCTCTCTCTCTCTCTCTCTCTCTCCTTGCGTAATATTCAAAAGGATGCCAGTGTTCACCTTGCTGAGACGACTTCGATCATCTTTTCCTGACCTCATGCCGAGCCTCCTCCACTACAACTTCGAAAGTTTCCGTCTTCTTCTTTTCTTAAGAAAAA